CGAATTTTTGCGATTTTGGGTACGATTTTAAACCAAATTGGCAGTAATTTGATATTTTGGCTACTCATTGTGTAGCAAATCTTCATACCAAAAATTATCACAATTTACCCAGATTTGGAGGTAGGCCCAATTAAACCAAACCCCTATTGTTTCGAATTTTTGCGGATTTTGGACACGTTTTTCAACCGAATTGACTGTAATTTGATATTTTGGGTTCTCATTGGGTAGAAAACCTTCCTACCAAAAATTATCAATATTGGTTTGGAGGTAGCTCCCTTTTAACCGAACCCCCAAATATTCGAATTTATTGGGAGTCGGACACAATTTTCAAATATTTTTTTCACAACATACATTTACACACCATTTGCTTTTATTTACTTCCTTTATAATTCGCCGGCATCTGACTACATTTATTCTCAACAGTTTTCCCATTCTCTTCATACACCTGTTGTTGCTGTTAGCCTACCACCCGGTATCGAATTAAGTTGTCTACAGATTTTTTGTTGTTGTTGTTTGTTAATCGTCTGTGGACACATAATGTGTTACGAGATAAAAAAAACTTTTCACTGATAAGCGGTAACAAAAAATCGTGGCGGTCGGTTGTTATCTCATCTTTTTTTGTAGTTGGAAAGCGATTTTATATTTCGGCCCGAGAGCGACTCTTTTTTGTCATATCTCAAAATTTGTACATTTTTTAAATTCCTCTTTTTTGCTTTGCTTTCTTTTCTAACAAACGTTGGTTTTGTTGTTGTTTGTACTTGGTTTAGTTTTTTATTTACCTGCAATTGTTAAAGACCCATTTACTTCGTGTGTGTGTTTATTTAAAATGTTAATAACATTTTACTTTTTTCATTTTCCGAGCCACTCGCACTACTCATTTATTGGAGTGTGAGAAAGAGAGAGACATTTATTTACCTACTTATCCACAAAACCCTACTCTACCCTACCTCTAACCGCCAGTCATCTCTGCCAACCTACCTACTCAACCAACATTCTGTCGATTAGATTTCGTTTATAACACATTTTTTTGTTATTCAGTTTTGTGAAGCGGAGTATTGAGAGCGGTTGGGGTTTTCGTTCGGTCAAAACTTTTTTTTATCAATGAAAAACAGTTGTTAAAATTTGTCTATACTTGTTTTTTAAATATTTCCTAAAAAATATCCAAATATCGACGGTACGGTTGAAAAATATTTTAAAAATATAATTTGCTTTTTAATTTTGAATATCCATATTTTTTAATACGTTTGGTATTGAACTTTGTACACGCTCGTGTTGTTGTTTTTGTGTGTGTGTGTAATTATATTTTTTAATTAAAAAACCAACCTGAATCAATATTAATTTTTAAAATAAAAATAATAATAATAATTCTGAATAAGTGCCCATAAAAAATGACAACGACTTTTGAACCTCGCAGAGCCAATAATTTGTACCCATACGGGCTTGGGAAAAATTAGAATTAATTGTGGAAATTATAGTCGGGGATTGGAAAAAATGAAAATGAAATAAAAAAGTTTCTTCACAGAAAACCAGAAGGTCTTCTTAATAGAAGAACAAACGGGTCGAAGGTCTCCATCATAGAAGGTCATGAATTCGTTCCCATAGAAAACCAGAGGGCCTGAAGACTGAAATGTCTTCTTCGTAAAGAGAGCTGAAAGCCTTTCATAGAAGATCAAAATGCTTTCTTCATACAGGGCTATTGGGTACTTCATAGAAGTCCAGTAGGTTCATGGGATAACAGAGGATCTTCTTCATAGAAAAGCCAGAATGTCTACTTCATAGAAAACCAAAGGTCTTTTTCTTAAAAAATTAGCACGTCCTCTTCATGGACGACTTGAAGGTTTTCCTCCTAGAAGGCCTGAAGGTCTACTTCATAGAAGACCAGAAGGTCTTCTTCATAGAAGACCAGAAGTTCTTCTTCATAGAAGACCAGAAGGTCTACTTCTACTTTATAGAATGTCCGAATGTCTTCCTCAATGATGACCAGAAAGTATACTTCATAGAAGACCAGAAGGTCTACTTCATAGAAGATTAGAAGGTATTTAATAGAAGACTAAAAGGTAATTCATAGAAGACCAGATGGTCTTTCATAGAAGACCAGAAGGTCTACTTCATAGACAACCGGAAGGACATTAAGTAGTCCTTCCGACCAGAAGGTCTTCTTCATAGAAGACCAAAAGGCCTTCTTCATAGAACACCTGAAGGTCTACTTCATAGAAGTACAGCATTTTTTTCATAGAAAACCAGAAGATATTTTTCATAGACGACCAGGAGGTATTTTGGAGTCTCATTTGGTATAAAACCTCCCTACCAAAAATTATCCATATTGGTCCATTTTTTTGAGTAGCCTCCATATAAAGGTACCTCAAAAATTTCTGTTTCTTAGAGAGCTTGACCTCGTTATTCAACCGAATTTGCTATAATCTGGTATTTTGGGTTCTCATTGAGTAACAAATCTTCCTCTTCAGAAGGTGTTTTTCATAAAAACAAATCAGCAGGTCCTCCTCATGGACGAATTCAAGGTTTTCCTCCTAGAAGGCCAGAACGTCTACTTCATAGACAACCAGAAGTTCTACTTCATAGAAAACCGAATGGTCTCCTTCATAGTAGTCCAGAAGGTCTACTTCTACTTTATAGAATGCCCGAATGTCTTCCTCAATGATGACCAGAAGGTCTACTTCATAGAAGAATAGAAGGTCTTTCGTAGAAAACTAGAAGGTATTTCATAGAAGACCAGATGGTCTTTCATAAATGACCAGAAGGTCTACTTCATAGACAACCGGAAGGACATTAAGTAGTCCTTCCGACCAGAAGGTCTTTCATAGAAGACCAGAAGGTCTACTTCATAGACAACCGGAAGGACATTAAGTAGTCCTTCCGACCAGAAGGTCTTCTTCATAGAAGACCAAAAGGCCTTCTTCATAGAACACCAGAAGGTCTACTTCATAGAAGTCCATACATTTTTCTTCATAGAAAACCAGAAGATATTTTTCATAGACATCCAGAATGCTTTATTCATAGAAGATCAGAAAGCTCATTTCATAGAAGACCAAAAGGTCTACTTCATAGAGGACTGGAGAGTCTACTTCCTAGAAGACCAGAAATGTTTCTTCATAGAAAAGTTATTTTTCTTCATGGAATGCCAGAAAGTCCACTTCATAGAAGCCCATAAGGTCTTCTTCATAGAAAATCAGCAGGTCCACTTCATAGAAGATCAGACGGTTTTAATTTTATCCATAGAAAACTAGAAGGCCTTCTTCATAGAAAATCAACAGGTCAACTTCATAGAAGATCAAAAGGTCTCCTTCATGGAAGACCACAGATCTTCTGCCTACCCGCCCATGCGCCAGTCTGTTAATATCAAGATAGAGCTGATGATATATAATAGACATAGCTTTGAAATGTTGTTCATTCATTGTTACGACTTCTAGGATGTTTGTATTGAAAATGGGTTATATCGGCCCACCTTTTAGAATGACCCTCATATTACTGTAAGTCCATTATTGGAATTTTTGGGCATGATTTTCATTCGAATTGGCTATAACTTGCTATTTTGGACTCTCACTAGGTAGAAAATCTATCTACCAAAAATTATCAATATTGGTCCACTTTTTATGGTATCCCATATAACGACCTCTCCAAAATGTCTGTATTTTCAGGATTTTATATACGTTTTACAATCAAATAGGTTCAAATTTGATATTTTGAGTTATCATTGGGCGACAAATCAAAAATTAAAAAAAATATTTACTTTTTAGGTTAGCGCCTGAACATAAAAAAATACTGTACTTTAGGGAGCTTGACCACGGTATACAACCGAATTGGCTGAAATTTGGTATTTTGGGTTCTCATTGAGTAACAATTGTTTCTACCAAAATTTATCAATATTGGTCCACTATTTAGGGTAGCCTCCATATAAAGGTTCCTCAAAATTTTCTGTATTTCAGGGGGCTTGACCTCGTTATTCAACCGAATTCGCTGTAACTTGATATTTTGGGTTCTTATTGGTTGATAAATTGTGCTACCAAAAAATAGCTTTATCTGATCAAACTTCGGGATAGCTCCCATATAACAATATCCCTAATTATTCGAACATTTGGGGATTTTGGACATGTTTTTCAAACGAATTGACTGGAATTTGGTATATTGGATTCTCATATGGTGGTAAAACTTCCTACCAAAAATTATCAATATTGATCCAAGTTTCGAGGTAGTCCCCATATAACGTTACCTCCAATTATTCGAATTTTTGAGATTTTGTAGCCGAATTGACTGTAATTTTATACATATTTCGGAGTCTCATTAGGTATAAAATTCCTCTACCAAAAATTATCAACATTGGACCAAACTTCGTGATAGCTCCCATATAACCGTAACACCAATATTCGATATTTTGGACAGGGTTTTCAACCAAATTGTCCATAATTTCATATTTAAGACCCTCATTGTATAGAAAATCTCCCTACCAAAAAACAATCAATATTGGTTTACTTTTTAGGGTAGCCTCCATATAAATGGACCTCCCTATTTTTGTATTTTAGGGAGCTTGACCTCGTTATTCAATCAAATTGTCTGTAATTTGGTATATTGGGTTCTCATTGGCTGGCAAATCTTCCCCATTTAACCGAACTCCCCAATTACTCGAATTTTAAAAAATTCACGCCTTGTCTAGGCCTTGAAAAAATATTCTTTAAAAAGACTTTTTAGTTTCTTTTTTGTTTCGAACGACCCTCGTCAAGGCCATTCAGTACTGTTTGTATTAATTCTTTCCACATTCTTTGACTTATCATCGATAATTTTTATATGGGATTTTAAAACTGAAAAAAAACCTGATAAGAAAATTATTTGATAAAGATAACGTGCGTGAGTAAAAGAAGCGCTAAGGGAGTAGGATACATATAATTTCACAATAGTAACGGAAATTCGTTAATTTTATGGAAAAGAAATGTATTTTTCAAAATTTGTATTAATTCCCATTATTTTTCTTTTTTCCAGAATACACAATGAGTGACGATAATAACGACAACAATCAACAAAATGGCACATCTTCGTCAAATTCGAATACGCCGCCACCAACATCCTCTGCTGCCGACAATAATGTACCCGCCAAAATGATCGAACACTTTAAGGCCCACAAAGTCGATGTGGCCATGTGGCTGATGCGTATATTGGCCATCATCTTTACGGTCTTCTATGTCCTGCCCATCTTTGGCACTCAACAGAGTGCCTTCAACAAAGTTCTACTCTCAAATGCAGCTATTTCAGCGTTGCGACTACACCAACGTCTGCCCTCATTTACATTTTCACGGGAATTTTTGGCCCGTCTCTTTGTCGAAGATTCGTGTCATTATTTAATGTATTCGCTGATATTTTTGAATGTTCAACCGACACTGTTGATATTGGCACCAATTGTACTGTTCGCCGTGTTGCACGCATCGAGCTATTCATTGAAATTGTTGGATGTAAGTATTTGCCTTATAGGAAATCTTCCAATGGCCTAAGGGTCTTCTTGAAGAGGGCCTGAAGGTCTTCTTGATAGAAGAGCTGAAGTTCTTCTTCATAGAAGGCCAGAAGGTCTTCTTCATAGAAGACAAGAAGGTCTTCTTCATAGAAAGCCAGAAGGTCTTCTTCATAGAAGGCTAGAAGGTCTTCTTCATAGAAGACCAGAAGGTATTCTTTATAGACGACCAGAAGGTCTTCTTTAAAGAAGATCAAAATTTAATCATGCAGAGGATTTTTTTATTTTTATTAATTATTTTTTGTTTTTTCTTTTCTTCTAGATTATTGGCCAAAATTCCTGGTGGGGTGCCCGTTTCCTCATTTCCTTGGTTGAATTCCAAGCTGGTAATATCTTGAAGGCTGCCTCCTTCTCCGAAATCTTCATCATGCCTTTGGCTGTAGTCATGACATTCATGTAAGTCCATAACCATTAGCATTTTTTCGACAATATTAATCCTTTCATTTTCTTCTTCTTTATAGGGGTAGAGCTGGTCTTATGACACCCATTATGTACTATCACTTCCTTGTTATGCGTTACAGTTCTCGTCGCAATCCCTACACCCGTAACGCCTTCGCTGAGTTGCGTATGACCGCTGAGGCATTGGCTGCCCGCTCCCCCGGAGTTGTGGGGAAAATTGTACAAAAAGCCATTGCATTTATTAGTCGTTTGGCACCACCACCACAACCTGCTCCAGCCCAGCAGTAAAGAAGGGGAGGATAACCATTCACAACAACAACAGCAAAAGCAATCCAATTCGAAAAAAATAATTTAACACCAAAACCAACAACAATCCAGAGCCTTTAAAGGTGGTTTCTTCAACCTTCTTTCTTTTGTACTACTGTGTAACTAAACAAAGGGGAAGAAGAAGAGGAGTTTATTTGGAAATTTCTATTAATTTATGTCGGGTGGCCTAAAAATATTATTTTTATGTTATTTTCTACTATATGTGTATTTGTGTGTATTGGAATTTTGTTTTTTTAGTATAAGCTAAAAATTATTTCAATATTTTCCATCACCCACCCAGCTTCCCCCACAACCTAACCTCAATGTCGAACAACACACCAGCCCGCCCACACCCCCTCCTACATACACTCCATCATAAGTCAGTCAGTTTACAAGAAATTATTTATTTTTGTTTTCGTTGTAATATTGTAAGTTTTGAAAAAAGGAATATTCAAATACCTATTATTTCATTCTCTATACATCGTCGTATTTAGGCAGGTAACTACCATTGAAGGTATTAATTAATAATGACTTACTTTTCCCTATTCTATTCATTTTTTTTTTTTCATTACTTTCAATACGAAATTTGAATTAAAAAAACAAAAACTTATTTAAATGATGAATGTGAGAAAGTAAATAATATGAATAAATTATTGACTTTTATTATCATTAAAATAAAACAAAAGGAGACAAAATAAAAATGTCATGGGAACAGTTACAAAAAAAATGTTTAAAAAACTACAACACCAATGTGATTTTATTTTTAAAACTTTTTTTAATTTGAAGGTCTTCTTCATAGAAGGCCAGAAGGTCTTCTTCATAGAAGCTCAGAAGGTCTTCTTCATAGAAGGCCAGAAGGTCTTCTTCATAGAAGGCCAGAAGGTTTTCTTCTTCATTGAAGTCCAGAAGGTTTTCTTCATAGAAGGCCAGGAGGTCTTCTTCATAGAAGGCCAGAAGGTCTTCTTCATATAAATCGAGAAGGCCTTCTTTATAGAAGTCCAGAAGGTCTTCTTCATAGACGGCCAGAAGGTCTTCTTCATAGAAGGCCAGAAGGTCTTCTTCATAGAAGGCTAGAAGGTCTTCTTCATAGAAGGCCAGAAGGTCTTCTTCATAGAAGTCGAGAAGGTCATCTTCATAGAAGTCGAGAAGGTCTTCTTCATAGAAGTTGAGAGGGTCTTATTCATAGAAGTCGAGAAGGTCTTCTTCATAGAAGTCGAGAAGGTCTTCTTCATAGAAGTCGAGAAGGTATTCTTCATAGAAGGCCAGAAGGTCTTCTTCATAGAAGGTCAGAAGGTTTTTCAAGAAGGCCAGAAGGTCTTTTTCATATAAATATTTTTTCAAGGCCTAGAAGGCCTTTTTTTAGAATAATATATTTTCAAGGCCTAGACAAGGCGTGGGTTTTTTAAAGAATATTTTTTCAAGGCCTAGACAAGGCGTGGGTTTTTTAAAGAATATTTTTTCAAGGCCTAGACAAGGCGTGGGTTTTTTAAAGAATATTTTTTCAAGGCCTAGACAAGGCGTGGGTTTTTTAAAGACCTAGACAAGGCGTGGGTTTTTTAAAAGAATATTTTTTCAAGGCCTAGACAAGGCGTGGGTTTTTAAAAGAATATTTTTTCAAGGCCTAGACAAGGCGTGGGTTTTTTAAAGAATATTTTTTCAAGGCTTTAAAGGTGGGGATTTTTTAAGGAATATTTTTCAAATATGTCCAAATATTTTTTCAAGCCCTATACAAGGCGTGGGTTTTTTAAAGACCTAGACAAGGCGTGGGTTTTTTTAAGAATATTTTTTTAAACATGTCCAAAGATATTTTCAAAAGTGTCCCCGATGAGTTTGCTGAATTCGATGCAACTCTCAGCCTTACCAACCCGGTAGAAAATTATGAAAAAATAGTGCAAAAGAAAATGAAGGTCGATCTCTATGTTCCGGATGCTATGAAAAAGGAAATATGGTTCAAAAGCGATGCTGCAGCTCGGAATGGAATGGGTGGTGAAAATGCGTGATGAGCTATTGAAACGTGGGAAATTTGAATTTTATGAAACGATTGCTGTTGCCAAGGAATTGGGTCCCGCCTGGGTCTGGGATGTATATAATGAATTAGAAGATCCAGAACCCACTGCTTATTATAATTATGCGGGTTGTCGAACGCCGTGGTTGGATGAGTGGTTGGCGGAAAGGGGAGAAACTGAAAAAAAATTTAAAATAAATAAAAAACATAGATTTTTTCAAGATTTGTATGATGTCATATTTATAAGACACAGGGTGTTTCAAACATCAGTGGTATTTTCTTGCGGGACACCCTGCATGTAAAAAATCTTTAGTTGTTGATAATGAAATACAGATGGCAGGAGGGTATTCAAAGATACTCAGGGTCTATATAAGGCGTGGATTTTTAAATAATACTTTTTTTCAGGGTCTATTTATGGCGTGGATTTTTAAAGAATATTTTTTTCAGGGTCTATATATGGCGTGGATTTTTAAAGAAAATTTTTTCCTGGGTCTGTATAAGGCGTGGATTTTTAAAAAATATTTTTTCCAGGGTCTATATAAGGCATGGATTTTTAAAGAAAATTTTTGAAGGCTCTATATACGGCGTGGATTTTTAAAGAATATTTGTTTAAGGCTCTATATACGGCGTGGATTTTTAATGAATATTTTTTCAAGGCTCTATATACGGGTGGATTTTTAAAGAATATTTTTCTATATACGGCGTGGATTTTTAAAGAATATTGTTACGAATATAACATTAGATTTAAGTTAATTTAGATGAATTCCGTTAATTTAAGAATTTGAATTGTAACGTAAATTTCTACTACGCAGTTTATTTGAATAACTTCACAACAACAACCACTGTATAGATTTTTCTACATCCTTCCATTTCCTCTTTCATTTTCTATTTTGTTATTGTCGTACAATTCTTGTTAAACGTCATTCCTCTTTCTTTGTTATTCCCTCGCCTGTATATGTGTTGTTGTTATTCCTCTTTCTTTGTTATTCCCTCGCCTGTATATGTGTTGTTGTTATTCCTCTTTCTTTGTTATTCCCTCGCCTGTATATGTGTTGTTGTTATTGTAAGTTTGTTTACTCAAGTTTGTTGTTGTTATTGTTCACTCAGTAAGTTTGTTGTTGTTATTGTTACTCAATGTGTTTGTTGCATTGGTAGATTGTTCGTGATCTAGGTGTTACCAGATCGTCTAGAAACTTCTGTAGCGACAGGCAGGGCTCATATAAATAGAGGGAATGGAAAGGCAGTGAGTCAGTTGTGAATCAGATCACGAATTGAAACCGTCGAGTAAAGTAAAGTGCAAAGTAAAGTTGTGTGAATAAAATCATTGTAATAATCGTAATCCGCAAGAACCTGCGTTTTATTTGGTACGAATTGTATCGGGAAATAAAACAACGTCTACACGGGATTTAGTAAAACCCAAGAACGTAACAATTGGTGTCGGAAGTGAGATTACGATAATACTACGATGAAGTTTAAGGATCTACGAGTGGAAGACTTGAAGAAGGAGCTCAATAAATTGGAATTGTCCTCTACTGGCAACAAAGCTGAGCTACAAAAACGTCTGTTGGATGAGTTCGAACGCCGTGGTATGAACATCGATACATATGATTTTGACAGTAAGGATGAAATGGATTTATCGGAAATGGGCGAATCCAACGGTGGGGAAGTCTCGTCAGTAGCTGCCAGGGTTGACGATTTGAGAGAAATGCTGGCTAGAATGTTCGAAGAGAATGCCAGAAAGTTTGAGGAAAATTCCAGAAGAAGCGAAGAGAATTCCAGAAAGTTAGAAGAAAACACGAGACGAATGTTCGAAGAGAATTCCAGAAAGTTAGATGAACTCAAGGCAGAGAATTGTAGAATGTTTGACGAAAATTCGAGAATAATGAACGAGAAACTCGAAAACATTACAGAAGTTATTGGAAGGAGAGTGGAAACCGTGGAGATCCAAATGAAAGAGTTGGATAAGAAAGTGCAGTCGGTTGACGAGAAGATTCTGTCTGTGGATGAGAAATTTCTGGCCCACGACCACAGGTTTACGAATCTGGAGAAGAAAATGTCGGAACTGGAAATCAAAGGTGGTCCGGTGCGAGTTCCTGATAACACACTAAAAATAAAACCTCCTGTATTCGACGGCTCTACGTCATTCAATGTTTTCAAGTTACAGTTCGAGACAGTGGCTTCTAGAAATTCGTGGAACGACAGCGACAAAGCGGTTGCATTACTTCTGGCATTGAAGGGCAGTGCTGCTGATGTTATACAGAGTATTCCTGTCGCTTCTAGGAATAACTATGAAGATGTTATTGCTGCACTGGAACGTAAGTACGGTGGCGAACATAAACAAAACATCTACCTTATGGAACTAAGGGGAAAAGTACAGAGGGCAAACGAGACGTTACAAGACTTTGCAGCTGAGGTGGAACGTTTGGTGCTAATGGCGTATCCAGGAGAGAATCACCCATTGCTGGACCGTATGAAAATCGAAACCTTTGTGAATGGCATACGTGACCCTGAGATTAAATGTGCAACATATGCGTCACCAAAAGCGTCGTTTGCCGAAACTGTGTCGTTTGCCCTTGCCCAAGAGACGGCAAGAATAATTGTTAAGCCCCAGACCCACAAGATTCGCCAACTGGAGACCGAAGGCTGCGAACCCAAATCTCTCGTTAACTCGATCAAGGACGCCATGAAGCAGATAATAGAAGAAACAAAGTTAGTAGGGATGACTAAGCCCAGGGTTAGATGCTACAACTGCGATAAAGCAGGTCATATTGCGCGCGAATGCAGAGCTAAGCGCAAACGATCCAGCTCATCGTCACCACCTCCAACGAAAGATGGTAGACGAATGGCTCAACAGTCCACCAATGAGTCACTGTTAAACTAAATCGAGCCAGTCCAGCGGGGCATGAACTGGCTCCCATCGACGATGGCCCCACAATCTCCATAGCAATAGTGCAACAGAAAAGTCACAACCTAACAACAACTGGGTACATCAATGGTGACAAGCGAGTTCTGACGTTAGATACTGGCGCATCAAAGTCCATCATAAGATCAGATCTGGTAAAGGGAAAAATAACGCAACTTAATGGAGTCAGACTGCGCACAGCAACGGGGGAGCCCGCGGCAGTACACGGCAAGATTACCCTGAGACTAACTATTGCCAATAAATCGGTGAATTACGAGTTTATAGTTGCCGATATCGTAGACGAAGTGATAATAGGCGCAGATTTTATGATTGCCTTCGGTATCAATCTGGATATGAAAGAGCGTGTGATGACCTGGTCTAACGTCGAAATTCCGTTAAACGTGGGCTACGATGAAAGTACACCCATTAGACGTCTGACTACGGACCATCCAGAGATAATACCGCCCTGTGCCGAAGCAATAATATGGGTACCAATGAATGGAGATTGTGGAGCCGAGAAGTTGTGGGTGGTGGAACCAGCAGAAAACAGATACAGTAACATCTTAATAGCGAATGCCCTGGTGAAAAGCAACGAGGACGGATTGATTCCTGTTAGAGTTTTGAACCTGTCAAACAAGCAAGAGCAAATTTGCCAATTTTCCGATGTTGGACAATGCACACCAGCTGAAGCTGTAATTAATTTGGAAACTAGCACCGAAAAGCCAGCAGCCATGGAGAAGAAGTACCTCGACGGCTACATTAAAGAGTGGACACACCAATTATCACCTTCCGAGAGGAACAAGGCTAAGCAGCTATTATGGAAATATGCCTCTACCTTTGCGTTGACAAAAGAGCACCAAGGAAGAACATCAGTGGTGAAGCATGAAATTAATACAGCAGACGCGAGACCCATTAAACAGCCTCCAAGAAGTGTTCCCCTGGCGAAAAGAGACGAGGTCCAGAAGCTGATAAGTGAAATGGAAAAGAGTGGTGTAATAGAACCATCGTCAAGTCCATGGTGCTCCCCAGTGGTATTGGTCAAGAAGAAAGACGGAAGCACCCGATTTTGTGTGGACTACCGAAAGCTGAATGATGTCACCAAGAAAGACAGCTATCCGCTCCCAAGAATCGACGACACATTGGACACATTAGCCGGGACGTCATGGTTCTCCACCCTCGACCTGCAGAGTGGGTACTGGCAAGTGGAGATCGCCGAGAAAGATAAGGAGAAAACAGCGTTTGGCGTTAATGGGGGTCTCTGGCAGTTCAATGTCATGCCATTCGGACTCTGCAACGCCCCGGCTACATTTGAAAGGCTGATGGAGCGTGTGTTAAAAGGGCTGCAGTGGAAGTCATGCCTCATATACCTGGATGACATCATAGTCATGGGACGCAACTTCGACGAACACATCAAGAATTTAAAGGATGTTCTTCAGCAGCTTTCGTCTTCAGGCCTCAAGCTGAACCCAAAGAAGTGCAGTCTCTTCCAACGAGAGGTGAAGTTCCTGGGGCATCACGTGACGCCGGAGGGCATATCGACGGATAAGGAGAAAATTCAAGCCGTCAGAGATTGGCCGCAGCCCCGAAATCTCCATGAGCTGCGAAGCTTTCTGGGTCTCTGCACCTACTACCGTCGATTTGTCCCAAATTTTGCCAACATCGCCGCCTGTCTACACCGCTTAACGCAAAAAGGCCAGAGGTTCCAGTGGGGCAACGACCAAGAAGAGGCGTTCAGTAAACTCAAAGACATGCTATGTAGAGCCCCCATTTTGGCATACCCTATACCTGGCGGAAAGTTTGCTCTGGACACAGATGCAAGTGCGTGCGGCATCGGTGGCGTTCTTTCCCAGGAAATCGACGGACAGGAAAAAGTCATCGGGTACTACAGCCGGACATTGTCGAAGCCTGAGAGGAATTACTGTGTGACGAGGAGAGAGCTGCTTGCTGCCCTTGAGAGCGTTAAACACTTCCACAAATACCTATATGGCCAGCATTTCCTGCTGAGGACCGACCACGCTGCTCTCCAATGGTTGCTGCGGTTTAAGAATCCGGAAGGTCAACTAGCCCGTTGGATCGAGAGGCTCCAGAGTTATGATTTCAGAATCGAGCACAGGAAAGGCGGAAAACACGGTAATGCTGATGCCCTGTCTCGTCGGCCATGCAAGGTAGAATGCAGGCATTGCTCAAAGGCTGAGAATAAGGAGAATATCTTTGATGTCCGACTATTGCAGTTTGAGTCGGGTGAAGATTGGTCGACGGAACAACGAAGAGATCCCATTCTGGGCAAAGTAATTTCGGCCATTGAAACGGGCAAGCGACCTAGTCGTAAAGAAATTACCTCCGAAAGCCCTCTTTTAAAATCCTATTGGGCCCAGTGGGACAGTCTACTTATAAAAGATGGCTGCCTATATCGCAAATGGGAAAGTGAGGACGGCAAATCTCACCGGAACTTGATCGTCGTCCCAGACTCCAAAATAAGAGATGTCTTGTCGGAGTTTCACGATGGGCCAAGTGGAGGACATCTTGGCATAGCAAAGACCGCTGAAAAGGTAAAGCAGAGATTCTACTGGGTCGGCTGTCAAAAATCCATTGCCGACTGGATCGCCAATTGTGAAAGGTGCATAAAAGCTAAAGGTCCAACACGGAAGAGTCGAGGCTACATGCAGCAGTATAATTCAGGAGCCCCTTTTGAAAGAATCGCAATGGATGTAGCTGGACCGTTCCCCACAAGCGACTCTGGGAACCGGTATGTCTTAGTGGTCATGGATTACTTCAGTAAATGGCCGGAGGTTTATGCTATCCCAAATCAAGAAGCCAGGACAATTGTGGATGTGTTCAGCAAAAATTGGATTTGTCGCTATGGTGTTCCATCTGAGGTTCATTCCGATCAAGGTAGGAATTTTGAATCAGCGATCTTCAAGGAAATGTGTGACTCCTACGGAATCAAGAAAACCAGAACGACGCCCCTACATCCACAATCAGATGGCATGGTGGAAAGATTCAATCGCACCCTTGAAGAACATCTACGGAAAGTGGTGGACAGTGGCCAACGAGACTGGGATGAGCATATTCCCAAGTTTTTATTGGCTTATAGATCGGCCATTCATGATTCCACATCCCGGACCCCAGCCAAAGTTCTGTTCGGAAATGAATTAAAGCTACCTGGCGATTTGATATTCGGCGCTACCCCAAACGACGATGTGAACCAAGATGAAGACAGCCAAAACTCTTTTAGTAAAGTCCACGATGCAGTCCGACATCGAATAAAAATGGTTAGCAACCGCATGAAGGCAAGGTACGATCGAGCGGCAAATACCGATGGGTTTCAAGAAGGGCAACTGGTACTATTGTTCAACCCACAACGAAAGAAAGGACTATGCCCCAAATTGCAAACGCACTGGGAAGGACCCTACAAGATTGTCACGAAAATAAATGACGTCGTTTATCGCATCCAGAGGAGCGACAGTCCCAGGTCGAAGATGAAAGTTGTACATTTGGAGCGGCTGACCCCCTACGGAACGGGAACTGTGCCTATTCGGGACGAACAGGCTTAAGCGGGGGGCAATGTTACGAATATAACTTTAGATTTAAGTTAATTTAGATGAATTCCGTTAATTTAAGAATTTGAATTGTAACGTAAATTTCTACTACGCAGTTTATTTGAATAACTTCACAACAACAACCACTGTATAGATTTTTCTACATCCTTCCATTTCCTCTTTCATTTTCTATTTTGTTATTGTCGTACAATTCTTGTTAAACGTCATTCCTCTTTCTTTGTTATTCCCTCGCCTGTATATGTGTTGTTGTTATTCCTCTTTCTTTGTTATTCCCTCGCCTGTATATGTGTTGTTGTTATTCCTCTTTCTTTGTTATTCCCTCGCCTGTATATGTGTTGTTGTTATTGTAAGTTTGTTTACTCAAGTTTGTTGTTGTTATTGTTCACTCAGTAAGTTTGTTGTTGTTATTGTTACTCAATGTGTTTGTTGCATTGGTAGATTGTTCGTGATCTAGGTGTTACCAGATCGTCTAGAAACTTCTGTAGCGACAGGCAGGGCTCATATAAATAGAGGGAATGGAAAGGCAGTGAGTCAGTTGTGAATCAGATCGCGAATTGAAACCGTCGAGTAAAGTAAAGTGCAAAGTAAAGTTGTGTGAATAAAATCATTGTAATAATCGTAATCCGCAAGAACCTGCGTTTTATTTGGTACGAATTGTATCGGGAAATAAAACAACGTCTACACGGGATTTAGTAAAACCCAAGAACGTAACAATATTTTTTCAAGGCTCTAAAGATGGGGATTTTTTAAATGAGTTTTTATCAAGGCTTCTTTAATTTAAATTTCATTTGGCAACCCTGGTCTATTGTTTCCCGTATGATTCGCTGCTGATAGTTCCTATTGTCGAAAAAAACAAGTTAACAGTAAACACAAGGTCCGCATTGAAGACCTTACGCGCCAATCCAAACATGTCCGAAGATAGTTTTGAAAGTGTCCCAGATGATTTTGCCGAATTCGATGCCACTCTCAACCTTACAAACCCTGTAGAGAACTATGAAAAATTAATGCAAGAGAAAATGATGACCGAACTCTATGTTCCGGATGCTATGAAAGAGGAAATATGGTTCAAAATCGATGCTGCAGCTCGGGAGGCTGTGTGGAAATTATTATTCGAAGACGAGGAGGATAGCAATGAACATGAAATCCGTGAAAAGGAAAACTTCGCTGCCGAATTATTGGAAAAACACAAAAGGAATGCTGCCTATTATTCACCCAGCGAATATAATGAATGGGTGGTGAAATTGCGGGATGAACTATTGCAACGTGAAAAATTGGAATTTTGGAAAACAATTGTTGTGGCCAAGGAGTTGGGTCCCGCCTGGGCCAAAGATTCAGATTTATATGATGATTTAGAAGATCCCGAACCGGCTGCTTATTATAATTATGCGGGTTGCCGGGCTGCGTGGTTGGAGGAGAATGGACAGTAAAGGAGGGGAGGAACTAAAAAATCCCCCGGAAAATACAAAGAACGGAGATTTTTTTAAGATGCACATATGATGTCATATTTCTAAGACACAGGGTGTTTCAAACAACAGTGGTATTTTCTTGCGGGACACCCTACATGTAAAAAAATGTTACATTCTTAATTCAAAATTCCATTTTGTTGATATGTTAAATACTTTAAAGGTATTTTTAAAATTTTATTTAGTTTTTGTTTTTTATTTTTTTTAATAAATTGTATATTCAACCTTTGGAATATTTTTGTATGTATATGTCTCCTCTCGTCCTGCGGTAACAACCCATCCATTTAAGCATAATTCGCTGAACGACATTCATTCCAAATGCGTTCCATTTCATTGGTGTTGTCAAATTCATGTGAGGCCACCACAAAACGATAACTATCCGGACCACTATAACGTGGCCGGTGAAAATGAAAATTGCCACAATGGGTGAGGTTGATGCGTGCCTTCAAGGCGACCAAACCCAAATAGATATCATCGAAACGAAAATGTTTGGTATATTGACTAACATAGTAGAGATCAGTTAAGGCGGCCCGTGACAAAATAAACGCTCCCGCCGTAACATAGGGAGGCCAACGATTAAAGGGATACTCTTTGAGCGTTACCAACCATTTACTAAACTTATGGCGCAAGGGACGTGATTGAAAAACAAATCCCGCAAACAGCTTTTCATGTTCCATACTGGCTTTCTTCTCCCACATACTATTCAATGATATGGCATTTTCAGGATACAGCGCCGGATGGGCTATGAAACGCAGAACATTCTTCATCGACACATAATAATCATCATCCACGAACATGTAATACTGGGCCCGTGGGCATTTCTCCACCACCCATTTGAAGCCCATCATTGTTTTAATGGTATTGTTAAAATAGGCATCCAAAAAATCTGCTTGTACTATATCCGCATATTCTCTCGCCTCATGATCGGCAATATCCATTAGCTTCGCATCCATGCTGGCACCCAGCAAAAATACCCTCCTTATATGGACATCGGAAAATCGTTGTTCATAACCCCAGGTACGTCGTATGGCATCCCGCCGCTCAACATTACCCAATGCCGATTTGATCAACAAAGTCAGCTGGGGTTTTTTGGCCTCGACGGCATCACATTGTCGCTGATGTAAAAAGGTGTAATTGTACAGATTAATGGGATTTGGCACTTCTTCACTTCCATCATCGATATGGCTTTGTTTATTCTTACGGGCTTCAGCATATTTCACCACATCACCATCCATGGGATAGTGGAATTTCGTCTCATAATCCAACTCAAAGAAATGGGTGAAGACACCGAAAAAATCCAAAAGGAAAATACCGGCTATTAATGCGGCATATTTATAAATGCGTTTATGTCGTGGTTTCATTGTGTGGCAATATTGTTTTTTGTTCGTTTTTGTGACTTATGAAGGTTTTGTTTCTGGCTGTTTGTTATCACTGCTGATTGTATGATGTCTTCGTTGTTGTGTTCGGAATGGAATCCATTTTAGTTTTTTTGTGTCTTTTGGAATTTAGAGCTATTCACAGAGGTCCAAGTGAAGAGTTCTTGCCAATCTGAAAACATAAATATGAAAAATAATTAATAATAATATTCTGTATCGAAAATATTCTTAAAAAATCCAAATAATTCTTTGGAGGTTCTATATAAGGCGTGGATTTTTTAAATCATTTTTTCCAGGGTCTATATAAAGCGTAGATTTTTTAATTCATTTTTTCGAGGGTCTATATAAAGCGTAGATTTTTTAAATCATTTTTTCGAGGGTCTATATAAGGCGTGCTCCATTACTCCATTGTTCTCTATCCGGTATTATAGCTTTGCATCGTGTGACTACTAACGTTTCAGGTATGCGGTCTGAATCAAAAGTATTGATTGTGGACCTAATATGTAATATGTTTTTGTGCGGTATGTTGTGCCGAGTATCTATCCACTCGTCCATTGCTCTGAGTCTTAAAGCTCCAAAGCCCTAGTTGGTGTTGTCCGCATTGTCCCACATATGCCTAGGCAAATGTTCTCTGAACTTTCTGCAACGCTTTTTCGTTACATTTGTCCAGCCATTGCTGTCCACCAGACAACACACGTGTATGTTAGAATTGGTCTAATAACGCTCTTATAGATCCTGTGTACCATCATAGGATTGAAACCCCATTTAGAGCCTACAGCTCTTCTACAGAAAGACCAGAATCTATGGGCCTTGTAAGCCCTTTGCTGTATGTGGTCTTTCCATTTAAGTTTCCTGCCTAGGATTACTGCCAAATACTTAACATTATTTGATATGGCTATCAATTTGATTTTGGAAGATGGGCTCCTCATACTGATCTATTATTTCTGGTGAAAAGACATATCTCCGCTTTCTCGGATTTACGTTTAAGCCCCTCGGCTTAGTTCAATTGTAGGCGTTGTTTAGCACCGCTTCAGCTTTTCTGCATAATAAGTTAGGATTCTTTCTCATGAGAAGTATTATAACGTCTTTTGCATAGCAGACTGGTTCAAGTCCTTCAACGGTTATGTTCCTTAAGAGTCCATTATTGGCGGTTACCAACAGGAGAGGTGACAAAATCCCTCCCTGACCTACTTTGTCTTTGATTGTTATGTTAGGATATAGTTAACACATTCAATGATTGCCCGATCAACTTGGAAGGTATCTAAGGATTGGATAGGCGTATTAGTGCTGACATTGTTGAAAGCTCCTGCAATGTCAATGCATACCGCTTAGGTATAAATTTTCTTAGCGAAGATGCCCTCAATATGGTGTACAATGTCATGTAAAGCGGTTTCTATTGATTTCCTTCATGTTGTTTATATTTCAGAGTATCGTTGGGTATGCTGCTCTTCTTTATCATGGTGATGATTGTACGTTCCTTGGTTTTGTGTAGGAATGAAGTTAGGCTTATTGTATTTTCTTATAAAACGATAGGTCTGTTTGTGGACGGCTATGTGACGACAGTATGGTCCACGATACGGAAGGATAAGTATTGAAACTATCCAGAATGACAGATCTGGTACTGCACTATCGGATTTATGGGACAGCAACAACTATACTGAAGCTATATTGACTATACAGTTGTTTCCACGACAGAGGTCCAAAACAATTCGGGGCCAACTATAACAACATATATTAAGTACTGAAATATAAATATGGTCAAATTAAAAAAATACCTGAATATTCTACATACCCTCCGAAGAAAACACAAATATGTGTACACCTTCAAAGCGATGACTTTGGCTAACCACTGCGGTCTAATTCTAATATGACCTAAAAGCAACATAAAATTCTTAAGCTCCCGTAACCGAGATTCAGGTTGGAATGCGTAGCTGCTATATTGATGTTGTCTATGAAGCAAACAGTTATAGGCGCCCGTATACTTGGGGTATATCACCATATTTGGGGCACTAACCCTATGGAAAGTGTAGAGGCAAGAAACGGGGTCTCTGATGCAGATGCAATAGAACTGTCCGACTGGCCTTTTCTTTTTCTTCGATATTTTCACAACACAATTGCACTGAGCACACTACATATTAATCATTAATTTAATTAATAACTGGGACAGACAGACATACTAACAATAAAATACACACGCCCAGGTTTATCCCAATAGGCCCGGTTATTTATCTTCATGATGTGAGGGTTATAGCCCATACATTTTTTAAAATATTTGAAAATCTTACCTTAAATAATAAATAATCTCTCTATTTCAATCAAATTTTGCCCAAATTCGTGTGTCAACTCCCGGACAAACCTCCTTTGCCAGCCGAAGCAACCAAACTTATTTAAAAACGTTCCACATGCATTGAATGCGAGGAGGTAGGAGAGAATGCTGATAAATCCCGTGATTGAAACAAAATGAACGGAGACCTGACGGTGTTTACGGATGAGTGTGAAAAATAATAGCGACAGATATGGAAGTATGAGAAAGGCAACAAGCAAGAAGACAACAGCTGTTTGTTGATAACATTATTATTTATCGATTAGTCGACTAATCGATAGCTGTTTAAAGAGATAAAAGGCGCAAAAGATGTTAAATTTTTGGTAACTGACAGAAATAATAATAATAATACAATACAAATTTCAATATTTAAAAATAATTAATATTAGCATATATATTTTGTATTATTTAGATATTAAATGTGAATTTAGATATTAGAAAGGGTGGCGTAGGGAATGATAGATACCAAGCAACGGCTTTAACATGGCGAAGTCCAGGCTTATCTTGGTCCCTCTTTCATCTCAATTGTGGACACTGACCTCCCCGCTGTGCCACCTGGGAGCTATTCTCATAATATGTGCCGCGAGTTCATCCATAAGAACTATAAAAATGGGTTGAGGCGTCGGGTTAGTTGCCCGTTCTCGGAAAACTCAACCTACTATGAAAAAGCAAAGACAAATAAAACCAAACGCACCTAATATTGACGACCCCGTATAAAGGACCACGATCTGTGAATCTGCACTTGAAATGTGTGCACGTTGTACAGAGCAGGCGCAGTGTTCACTTTGGCGGATGTACTCAAGAAGTACAAAGCCGATATTATTGCCTTACAGGAAATGCGATGGAAAGGGGCTGGCGTAAGTAAATCAGATGATTACGCCCTGTATTATAGCTGCCATGAAACGAGACGTGAATTTGGCTGCGGATTTATGGGTAACAGAAGAATAAAAGACTTTGTCTTCAGATGCACTCCAGTAGATGAGCGAATTGCTATAATGCGTATAAAAGCGATGTTCTTCTACATCAGTCTCATTTGCGCCCATGTTCCGACCGAAGATAAAGATTAACAGACCAAAGACATATTTTATGAGCGCCTAGAAACAGCATATGAACGTTGCCCTGGCCATGACATTAAAATTCTGCCAGGAGATTTTAATGCAAAAATCGGAAGGGAAAATATCGTTGGCCCCACCATCGGAAAATTCAGCCTCCATGAAGAAATATCAGACAACGGCATGAAGTTGATTGACTTCGGGGCAGCAAAAAACATTTCTCCCGATCGAACAAAAAGAAATCAAATCGTGTTGTGATAGACGGAAGGCATTCATCCAGTGTTTTAGACGTCCGATTGGGTAGCAGACGCCTACACCGCTCAACTTACCCACCTGCTTGACGAAAGCACCCCTTGTCCCGATAATAATATAAAAGCACAGTGACAGAGAATTGCCCACTCCCTACAAACTGCAGCAAAAGCAACACTTGGGTACCAAAGACCACCATCAAGAAACCCATGGTACGATGTCGTAATGCTACTGATATGAAAAACGCAGCGTATAGAGCAACCCTGCAGACAGTAGCAACACGTATTGTGATGGAGAATTTTCAGAAAAAAGAGGAAAGGACAAGAAAAACGTGGGCTGATGGAATCAACGCGCAAGACGTCCAGTAGAACTTGAGAACTACAACTTCGAGGTAGTCAAAGTTTTTATATACCTTGATACCGCCATAAAACAAAACGAATGACATAAGTTTTGAAATTCGGAGAAGGATAGTGATGGCCAACAGATACTACTATGGTCTAAGTAAGCAGTTTCGAAACAAGGCCACCTCCCGCCAGGCCAAACTCACACTTTACAATACGCTGATACTACCCGTGCTGTTATATGGATCTGAAGCATGGGTACTTGCGCAAGCAGATGAGCAGCTCTTGGAGTGTTTGAGAGAAAAGTTCTCCGAAAGATCTATGGGCCGATCTGCGTTGATGGTGAATATCGCCGTCGAATGAACCATGAGTTGTACCAGCTATTCTCGGACATTGACATTGTTAGACGTATTCAGCTGCAGCGACTACGTTGGCTAGGTCATGTGAGAATGGATGAAGATGCCCCGGCCCAGAAGGCATATAAAAGCGAATCAGCTGATGATTCACGCAGAATTTTTTTAATTTTTTAAATCATTTTTTCGAGGGTCTATATAAGGCGTGGATTTTTTAAATCATTTTTTCGAGGGTCTATATAAGGCGTGGATTTTTTAAATCATTTTTTCGAGGGTCTATATAAGGCGCGGATTTATAAAAGAATTTTTTCGAGGGTCTATATAAGGCGTGGATTTTTTAAAGAAGGGTCTATATAAGGCGTGGATTTTTTTTTTTTCGAGGGTCTATATAAGGCGTGGATTTATAAAGAATTTTTTCGAGGGTCTATATAAGGCGTGGATTTATAAAAGAATTTTTTCGAGGGTATATATAAGGCGTGGATTTATAAAAGAATTTTTTCGAGGGTCTATATAAGGCGTGGATTTATAAAAGAATTTTTTCGAGGGTCTATATAAGGCGTGGATTTATAAAAGAATTTTTTCGAGGGTCTATATAAGGCGTGGATTTATAAAAGAATTTTTTCGAGGGTCTATATAAGGCGTGGATTTATAAAAGAATTTTTTCGAG